GACGACCAGCTCGAGAAACATACCCAGTTCAACGACGAGTACATCTACGCCTTCACGTGGAGGACTCCAAGGTGGACGCGTCCCTGCTGAAGCTCGGCCCGGAGGATGTCGTGCTCGCCATCACCAGCGCCGGCGACAACATCCTCTCGTACGCCATGCAGAGCCCCGCGCGGATCCACGCCATCGACCTCAACCCGAGCCAGAACCACCTGCTCGAGCTCAAGGTGGCCTCGTTCACGGCGCTGCCCTACGAGGACTTCTGGAAGATCTTCGGCGAGGGAAAGCACGCCGAGTTCCGGTCACTGCTCCTGTCCAAGCTGTCCCCCCACCTGTCCAGCCGCGCGTTCCAGTACTGGCTCGACAACGCCAGCATCTTCACTAAGGCCAACGGGCGCGGCCTGTACGACACAGGCGGCAGCAAGCACGCGATCCGCGTGTTCCGGTGGATCTCGCGCATCTTCGCGTGCCGCCAGGCCGTGCAGGAGCTGCTGGCGGCCAAGACGCTGGACGAGCAGCGGCGGATCTGGCAGTCCAAGATCCGGCCCGCGCTGCTCAGCCCGCTGGTCAGCAACATCGTCGTCAGCTCCGAGGCCTTCCTCTGGGCGGCACTGGGGGTGCCCAAGAACCAGCTCGCCATGATCGAGGCCGACCACGCCACCAGCCGCGCCGTGACGGGGCCCTCACCCACGGCCAAGAACACGCGCGCCCACGCCATCTGGCACTACATGGTCAACACCCTGGACCCGGTCATCGAGACCACGCACATCGCCACGGACAACCCGTACTACCACGTGTGCCTGACGGGCGACTTCTCCCCGCAGTGCCACCCGGACTACCTCTCCCGGGCCGCGCACGCGACGCTGAGCCAGCCGGGGGCGCTGGACGGGCTGCGGATCCACACGGACGAGATCGACGAGGTGATTGCGCGCATCAGCCCGGGGACGCTGACGGTGGCGATCGTGATGGACAGCATGGACTGGTTCGCGCCGGCGGCGGGCACGGCGGCGGCGCAGATCCGCAAGCTCAACCGCGCCCTCCGCATGGGCGGCCGCGTGCTCCTGCGCAGCTCCGCCCGCGAGCCCTGGTACATCCGCGAGTTCGAGGCCCACGGCTTCGTCGGCAAGCAGGTCGGCGATCGGGAGCCGGGTCGCTGCATCGACCGGGTCAATATGTATGCGAGCTGCTGGCTCTGCGAGAAGGTCGAGAACCTGCCGCCGCCGACGCCGGGGTTGGAGGTTGAGACGGGGCAGGCGCTGGGCGAGGATGTGTTGCGATTGTGATTGGGGGCGGGTACGGTACAGGGTTGGTGGTGGTCGAGAGGGATCGGGAGAAAAACGAAGTTGTCGAGTTTGGTGGGGGTTGGTAGGTGACGAGCAAGAGTGAGATGACCGAATTGAATACTGATTGCGATCGTTGTTTCGAGTTTTTGATGCCCCCTCAAGTTTGGTGACACCGGGGACACATTTTGAGATCACGCCACCGGAATGAAACTGGTCGTGCGCGATGTGGTTGGGAGAGGTACGAAGAGAGGAATGCAAGGCAGCGGAGCGTCGACAGCGATGCAACCAATATCGGGTGGGCGTGGGGCAGATATCAACCTTTTGACATTGTTTTCCTGGTGCAGATCCCAGCCCCCGGCCGTTGGAGATCCCGAATAGACGAGAGACTCAAACTGGCGGGTTTGAACTTCAAACGGATGCACGAAGCACTCCCAAGCCTACTCGGACGGTGCTCGTGCAGGTGCGAGTTTGAAATTGTCGAGGCTTGTTTAGGTGCAGGGATTTGAAAGCGTTTGGTTGGCGTGGCTGCTCCCCTGGCTGTGGCGAGGCAGCCCAAGCAAGTAAATGTGGCCCAGGCCCGAGCCAAGCTCGTTGCAGGATCCTTGGCCCGATGCGGAAGTCGAGATCTGACCCAGAAACAGCGGGAAGTACCATGGCCATGGGGAGGCCGCGTTGTTTCCAAAAGACGCCGCCTGGCCAGACCCAAGGTGGCCCAGAACCCTGCTGGCTCAGCACCAGCCAAAGCCAAAACCCCCATTTCTCTACGAAGGACAGGTTCGAAGTACTTCTTACAGCAACATTGATGTCGAATATCAAACGAATCAGTACTACAAGGAGATAAGGGCTTCTGGTATGGAGTATCAGATAGAGCCTTCGAGTCTGGTGACCATGACATGACGTAGCGAGCGTAGGTACGATTTGCACGTGTAATGTTCAAATCGATCCGTGGGTTGCGGTTGATCTGGGCTCCTGGGGAAGCCAACTCCTCCCCACCGTTAAGCGCAGCGACCCACTTTTCCAAACACATCCATCCATGTTTCTCACCTGCCCCCGCGAAATCGAGTCAGACGTTTCGTACATACATGCATTGCCAACCTAGGAGGTGTCGGGTGATTCAGTTTGGATTTGGCTCTCTACAGTGGGGGCGCCCTCTATTGCTTGACTCGGGCTTCGACTATTGCCAGATTACGGTCCCTCTAGTGTATGTACTGTTCCCCGCAATGACGTTCGATCGGAGACGGCAACGGACCCTCAAGCCGCTGGAGCTTCATTCCTCTTCCGGACAGGTCGGGCCTCTAAACTCGCAAAACTGCATCACTCAGCAGCCGGGCCCGGATTCGATCCTCTTGGCCGATCTGCCGCCGCAGACGCCAGGAACTAAACGCGCCCCCCCTCCTGACGAATGGCATCGCTTGAATCTGGAAGGGAGCAGTTTATTTTGTGCGAGGTGGCGGTGCATCCTTGTTTCGCACCACGTTTATTGGCTTAATAGGCGATTAACGCCAAGCCCATGGGCTCCCGCCCGGATCAGCGATATCCGCTTGTGGCGCCTCGACTCCGCTTTCTGCGAGCCATGCTGTGCTTGCCAGGCATGATGCATGGTGCATGCACCACAACACGCAAGAATGCGAGATTGAGGACCAAGAGGGAGTCTGGCTCCCTCACCCCGGGCCGCCGTACACTACTTTAAAACGTTCATCAGCGTATCGATTATCCACCATGACCGACATACCCACGGCCCGTCGACATTCCGTGTCTTATTTTAACTCCGGCGTTGGTTGATGGAGCTTCCGGCGAACAGCAACAACATGTCAGCCACCTCGTCGTCGCCGGCGGCGGGGTCTTCCCCGCAGTCCTGGTCCCCGGCGAGACCACAGCACAATTGCATCGAGTGCAAGAGGCTTAAGAGAGCCTGCGATAAGGGATCTCCTTGCAGCAAATGCGTCAAGTTAGCTTGTTTCTGCCTTCTCTCTGGTTGTCGTGCTTGGCCCGAGACTGACCATTTTGACTTGTCTCGACAGAGCAAACCGCATTTGCGAGTACAAAGACCCGGGCGACGATGGTCTCTATGGACCTATTTCGACGGCTAAGGACATCCATTCGCTCACGTTCGGCACGCTCCTAGAAATCCTCATCAACAAACCGCGGGTTAAAGAGGCTGTCTCGCTGTATTTCAGCGGCGTCAATACCTGGTTCACCATCATTGAGAGGGCTAGTTTTGAGAGGGATCTGGAGGCCAACTGGGGAAATCTATCGGCCGAAAAAAGCGCCATGGCGCTTTGCATGGCTCTCGTCGCCCGCCCGCCGAACCAAAAGTCCAGCAAGGGCATGGGAGATACCGTCTATCCCACCACCAAGACCATTCTCGGCTTGGTTCAGAGCAAACTCCCCATGTCGGTACACATGCTGCAGGCCGAGTTGCTCATCGCCATGTATGAGTTCTCCCAGGCGATGCCTCAGCAAGCGTACATGTCTCTCGGACATTGCCTGCAAATGACCAAAGCATTCGGCTGGCACAACCAGGGCTTTTGGGCCATCGATAAACAAATGGCCAAACCGGCGGAGATGAAGCTCAACGCCATCCTATGGTGGGCGATTGTTTATCTTGATTGGTGAGGACATCCAATGAATCCGATACCGCCTATGGCTAATGCCGAAGTAGCCTCCTCAATGTCGCATACGACCAACCGTACCCGATGCACACCACGGGCCTTGCTCCGAGGTTGCCAGTCCCCATGCCTGAAACCATTGACCAATACTTCTCCGCCACCTCTCCGTTTCAATTCGGAGACCAAGGCCAGGGGTTCCGCGACGGCACCGGCGACCAAATCAACAGCATGTTCTTCCCCGAAGCGACGTCGGCCTGGTATCTTAGCAACGTCTTGCAGCAGTTGTCGGACCCCACGGCGTGTGGTCTTACGGATCCCAAGACCCTCTCGAGCATGATCATGATCCACCTAAGAACTATGACGTCGATGGGGTGGCGCGTGGGAACCAGCTACATGTGAGACATCCCGCACCCTCAACTTCGTGGGAACCAAGCTGATCGCCTATTCCATCTAGAGCCCTGATGAAGCTCCACTACTCGGGTCTGTTTGGGGGGATTGGTCCCATGCCGGTCATGTGCCAGAACCACGTCCAGGACGTCCAGATAATTCGGAACATCACCTCAGTCATCCTCGGCAAGGCTGGGAAACTCGTCCAATCCGAAGATCAACTGACCAGTGGAGCTATTGACCCTTCCTGGGAGTTCGCTATGTACTACGCCTCACTCTTGCTCATTTCGCACGGCGACAATGTCCTCCAGGACATGAACTGGGCCCAAAAAGTTGACAACCTTACGTACGCCCTCGATAAGGTATCTAAGAGGTGGAAGATAGCAGGTGAGTTCCCGTGTGGGAAGGTTGGGAATAGCGAGCATGTGCTGATGCGATCCAGAACGACACTGCGAATCAGTTAAAATCAAACTCGACAATCGCTCTACCGGTCGTGCCCGGTAATCACCTCACCTCCAAGCGCTAGGCGTGAGCAGGTGAGTTATCGAACATAAAAACCAATAAGAAGATAAAGCAAGGATGGAAGGTCGGATTGTCGGGTTTGTGTTTCAATTCAGGGTCGGGGTTTCTATTCGGCGTCAGGGCAATGTCCGGGAAATGGAGATACCCTTTTGACTTGGTGTTAACGGATGGCTTGGGTGGTAGGGCCGGGTATGGCGGATTTCCGTCTCAGTTCCAGGCTTGGTGATACCCTCACCCGGCTTGACCCGATCGCAACTCGCCCTACCCTCCTCCTATATGGTATTATGTCTTTCACTTCTTCTTTTCTTTCTCTTTGGGTATTTCTTTCTTCCATATCTTTCTATTCCGCCCATGTCTCACTTTTTCCCTCCGTCATCTTCTCTGTTTTGTTTCGAAGTTACCAGGAGTGGTCAGTCATCGCATGATAGACGAGTAAGGACATGGTTTGGGGAAACGGTTGGGGCGGGTTCGTGGCTTCACTTTTGCGGATTTTGTTTATTTTCATCCGTGTTCCGATTTTCTAGTTAGATCTCCATTTTCTAACTAGATTTCGTTAGCTTGTCTTCATCTTTCTAGGTAGTTCACAAGTCTATTACCGGGGCGAATTTTGAACTTGAGGAAACATCCAAACTTTCGTGTCATCTGGGTTTCTGAGTGGACCTCGGTCAATTATTGAGGGGACAAACTGAAGCACGAGGGGCTTTCGACAGCGTATTCGAGAGAGAGGCAAAGAAGGAAAGGCAGACCAAATTGTCGGGCAAGGGCGAGCAACGCGACGGTTATATGGTAAGCGTGTGAGAGCAAGGGACGGATGGCTGGCTGGTGACGTATGGGTTTGGGATGGGGATGGGCGGGACGAAGGGGAAGCGCCAGCGGACAACAAGATACCTATACATATACACAAAGTAACCGGCAGGCCCGGCCAACATATCAAGCACAAACCATCTACCTCCCTACCAACCTCCCGGCAAGCCGCTTGCCTTGCGCCCACTCTAGGTACCAAACAGCGGCCGCTCTCGAGGCGACAATCTCCTAGCTTGGGGTCGAAATTGGGCCGCACCGCCTCGTTCGGTCAGCTTCGCCCTGGCAAACGAACGGAGTGGACTTGCGATTGGGGCGTTGGTTATAGGACGGAGACAACGGGGATGAACGGAGCTGGGGAGGGTGTTGCAAATTCGTCTTTTTTTTTTTGTCTTGTTCTGGGAGAGGATGGCGAAGGAGATCATTTCTGGAATAGTAACCTACCTTAGTCACGGGATGAGAGAATGAGCAACCTTGCCGAACCCCTTCATCTGTCTGGGGTGATGGAGTGGGTTGGGATTGAGGTGTTAGTCGGGGGCGCGTCCCTTTTTGTGGGGCCTGCAAGCCAACGGCCGTGGCAGGGCGGTTGCGCCCGGATCTGACAGCTTCCGGGTCGAAGCCGCAGCTGGAAGTTGGACGTCCCGACCAGGAAGGATTCCTACTTTGCGAGCAAGTGCCAGTGTTTTTGTCGGGGTGTCCTTTAGGGGAGGCAAAATAGAAGTATGCAGCGGCGCAGGTGCACCCATCAGATTGGCCGTCCTCATCTCTTTTGTATGCTTTACAACACCGACTTGCTGCGTCACCGAACGCAGTGCCCCTTTGCCTTTCTTTCCTCAGTTCTTACCCACCCACTGATAGTAGCACAACCCCGACCGATACCAGCCCCACCAGGACAAAAGGAACGGTTTAGGACAAAACCAAAAAGGGATCTCCGTGGTAGTCGTGGGAGGCAATGTACAGAATAACCCCGCGCCCGGTCAGCTCTCTCCGTAATCCAACATCCACGCTCTTCTTCTACCTCCCAACTATGCGGTCCAGATGCGCTTGATGGTCTCGGTGATGCCCACGTCGGTGGTCTCGAACTCGTAGAGGGCCAGGCCGACGACCGCGGTGGCGGCGTTGAGGCCCCACATGAAGGCCTTGCGGGTGCGCGGCACCCTCTTCTTGGGGAGGTAGTCGATGATGACGTTCTGGAAGCCGGTGTGCGAGTGGATGAGGATGGTGGCGCAGAGGAAGGCGTCCAGCGTCGGGTTCAGTGACCCCGCCGCGAACGGGGCGACGGTGAGCGGGACCAGGGATGCGGCGACCAAGCGATCGAAGGTCCAGTGGTAGGACCCGTGCGACGGGGATGGCTCGGGTACGGGGGCGGCGTCGTTTACTACATATCGAAGGTATCGGTTAGAGAAAGGGGCGACAATAGTTGTTGAGGGGGGGTTGTCGGCGGATAATGGGTTGAGTAAGTTGGCGGGGGAAATGCGCTCATATCATACCTGTGCCGTCGACGTGCTCTGCTCAGATGGTTAGCAAAACATGTCCCTTATTGCTAAGAAAATGGATGATGCGCACGCGGAAGAGGTGGTAGGAGATCCCGGCGGGCGGTGGTGTGGAAGGCGGTTATGGCGGTTGGGCGGGCGGCGCGGGCAATGACGCTCTGTTGGAAGGCTGGCCGGGCCGAAGCAACCTGCCTCAGCAGGGAGGAACGAGCAACCGATGCCATGGTGTGTTGCGGTTAGTGGGTGGTCGGCGGGCAGTCAATTGGTTCGGCCGCGCGCTGCGTTGGGGGTTGATTGCTTCGGGGTTTCGACTGTCTGGTCTGGTGTGAAAGCGACGACGGCGGCGGAACGGGAGACCCGTGAAAATGGTTGCCGAAACGGTGCTTGCTTGCTGCTGGTTCCTCGGCAATCGGGACCACTGCCTGCCAATCGTCTTGTCGTTGATGTCAGCCGAAAGACCCCACTTCCATGCACCGAGAAGGTACCGGATCGGAATGGGAATTTCTTCCTTCCTGGGGTGGGTGCTGGCGCACCTTGCACGTGCCCGGCCCGTACGACTTGAGGAAAGGCGGTGAGCTCCAAACCTCACGAGTGGGGGTTCCGAAACCCCTGCAACGAAATAATACTGCCGGTAGTGTTAGCCAATTTTTTTGGGAACGCTGAAGCGTGCGTGTTTCGGAGGGGACTGGCTTTCTCTAATCGAAGCCTCTTATCTACCCCACGACAACTTCACCGGCTCTCGTCGGTACCATACTATGCTTACAAGTCGGACCAGATCTTGATCAAGCTACTAGGGAGACGAAAGAGTGGCAATGGCGCCCTTAGTGGCACCGCTCCTCCGGCGAGGTGGTGTCTGCCGCAGTTGCCTATTCACACTCGCCAAAGGCGTATCACCCATTCAGCGCAGGAATGTCACGAACAGTTGGTACAAGAAGCAGGGAATGGCACTGATCGAATGGGAGAAACGCGCAGAAGAGATTAAGAAAGGGAATATTCCCAATACCTGGGACATGCTGGAGGAACGGGGTTACGTCAAGGACATAGCTGGGTATGTTGGATTCGCCCGACGTCGCATCTTTCTCTTGTTTTCTTGGTGCGGTGGTTTCTGACATGTGGATGTTATTTTCCTAGGTCGAGAGAGACGATTCGCGAAATGATGAGGCTGAAACGGGTAAAAGCCTATGTCGGCGTCGACCCCACGGCGAGCTCGCTCCACGTCGGCCACCTCCTCCCTCTCATGCCGCTCTTCTGGATGTACATGCACGGATATGGCGCCTTCACGCTCCTCGGCGGATCGACGGTCAAAATTGGGGACCCAACAGATCGGTTAAAAGATCGAGAGCCGATCGCCAAGGCCGACCTGGCCATGAACGTCACCAAGGTGCATTTTCAGCTGAAGAAGCTGTGGGCCAATGTCGAGACCCAGGCCAGAAGGTATGGATACGAAAAGGAGTGGGCCTGGCAACGGGCCGTGGTCAACAACAACACGTGGTGGAATTCGGTGACTTTGCTTGAGGTCTTGAGGAGGGCTGGCAGGCATATGCGGATTGGGCCCATGCTATCCCGCGAGACGTGAGTACGGCCCCCGTCAACTGTGCCCTCTATCTCCTGACCCCTGGTTTCAGTGTCAAGAGGAAGATGTCGGAAGGAGACGGCATGTCATTTGCCGAGTTTACGTACCCCATCATGCAGGGCTGGGATTGGTGGACGCTCTTCAACCAGCAGAAAGTGCAGATGCAGATTGGCGGCTCGGACCAGTACGGCAACATCGTAGCCGGCGTTGATATTGTTAAGACCGTTCGAGACACCGAGCCCGATGAAGCGCGACGGATACCTCGGGATGGCCCGATCGACGACCCAGCAGGCTTTACCGTTCCGCTCCTGCTTGACTCGTCTGGTGTCAAATTCGGGAAAAGCGCCGGGAATGCGGTATGGCTGGACCACTTCATGACGAGCACCTTCGATCTGTACGGCTACTTTGTCCGGCGGCCGGATGACGATGTGGAGAAGCTCCTTAAGCTATTCACTTTCATGCCCCTGGAGGCCATTCAGAAGGTCATGGCACAACAAATGGAGGACCCGTCCAAGCGCGTCGCGCAGCACTGCCTTGCCTACGAAGTATTGACATTGGTACATGGGGAAGAGGCCGCAAAAGAGGCACGGGAACAACACCAAATGATGTACAACAAAGTTCCGCTCCCGGTCGTGGCCGGGGCGCCGGGCGCCGAGTATGAGCCCCCAGTTGGACCGACGACTTTGAACAATGCGCCACGGATCGACATGAGACTCCCGAGATCTCTGATCATGGGCAAATCGATCGGCCGCATCCTGTATGCCGCCGGCCTTGCCTCGAGCACTAGCGACGGCCACCGGCTTGCTGCGCAAAAGGCCGCCTATATCGGCGGTCTGCCCGGCCGCCGCCCCGGCAAGGGCGAACCCATGAACCCGTCACAGTTGACGTGGAATCCCGTCACCCTCTGGTTCCCGCAGGAGACTGGGAAGTATTTGATCGACGACAAGCTCCTCATCCTCCGCAAGGGCAAGCACAACGTACGTATCATCCAGGTGATCAGCGACGTGGAATACGAGGAATCGGGCGAGGAGTACCCGGGCATGCTATTTAAGGGCCGTATCCGTGAGCTCAAGGCACTCTTCAAGGATCTCAAGGAGGGTCGCAAGACCCCCGAGCAGATGCGAGAGTATGCGTCGAGAATCCAAGAGACTTACCCGTCAAGGAAGTCCCCGCCGGAAGGAAGACTCCGGGCTGAGTTGAGGACTCTATCTAGGATAGAGGAGAGGAGAAATCAGGAGAAACGTGATGCGGAATATGCGGAGAGGGAGAGCAAGCGAGTGGAGGCGTTGGACAGGAGGGCGGAGATATTGGAAAGGAGGGAGGAGGAAGAGATGAAGCGGCAGGAGGGAGAGGACCAAGGGGCAGAGGCGAAGAAGCAGGAGGGAGAGATGAACCGGCAGGAGGGAGAGGACCAAAGGACAGAGGCGAAGAAACAGGAGGGAGAGGACCAAGGGGGAGAGGTGAAGAAGCAAGGGGAAGAAGAGGGGAGCGAGAGACCTTAGAAGAGAGGAGAGAAGGGGGCCGCCGGCTGTGATTCACGTCGGACCTTAAATCGACGGAAAACACATACAACCCCGGAGGCGATGAGTAAGATGAAGCTTGGGGAGCAGTGTGGTGTTCTATACCATGAACCATGGAAAGAAACTACCCGTAGCGGGCTCTGTATATTCATCCATGTACTACTACTACATAGACGTTCGCCGCCGAGGCGAAACCACCAATGTACCATAAGCAACCAACGCCACACGCCCACTCGCGCATGTCTAGGGTCCGCCCGCCACCACCACCAGCCGACCGACCGCCCTCATCTGTACAGCACCGTCATGTCGCCGGCCGGCGCGGGGAAGCTCTTGAA